TTGCCCACCCTGCTTACCTTGCATGACTCATCTTCATCCAGAGCCAGGACTGAGCAGGCCCCCACTGGCAGAATTTGGGCAGTAAGTGCCATGGCTTCCTTTCTCCAAACCGCACACAGTGTCGGTATCCCTGATCAGGCCTGGTTAGTGATCCAGGCATGCCCACAGGAACCTGTTCAACTATGGAAGATCATTGGCAGGTGTCTTTTCACAGGTGGCAGTAATATTAAAAGACCAAGAGCATCTTGCCCTAGCAAAGGGTGACCTTAACTGTAATCACATTTTTGTTCTCTCCCTTCCCCACTGGCTCAGGGCCCCACCTGCAGTTTCTGGCTCCAAATTTGCTCTCCTGGCCCCCATGCCCCTCTGCCTTCAATACTGGGGGTGACTCACTGTTACCCTTATTAAAATGTTGGCTCTGGCACAAGGTTCTGAATGGCACAAGTGACTCTGCCTTCTTAGGGTGGCCCCTGTCTGCTGCCCCACCCTATCCCCACAGTGGGCAGCAGGAAGGTGATGCAGAGAGCTGTGGGGTATCCTGCCACTAGACACCCAGACTCTCTCCAGGGGAGCAGGGGAGCCAGGACCTGTGGGAATCCCACTCCCCTGGAAATACCGGTATGGAGAATGCTACAGGGGATACCATAAGATGGTGGGGACAGAGGGACACCTCTGTCTGAGAGCCACCTCAGCTTCTGGCCCTCTTTCACCCAGCCTGGAGGACAGAGCACATCTCCAAGCTGCCCAGGACCCCAGCCATGTCCCAGACCATAGGTCCCCAAACAGGCCATCCTTTAATGATAACCTGGAGAGGCTGCTAAAAACTTGGATTCCAAAATTCGGACTGTGCTGATATTGGAAAAACCTCTAAGATGTACTGTCAAGACAACCAAGATACAGAAGTGTGCATATGGTGCGCTACCCTTTGGTAAAAAGGTGTGGGTGTGCAAATCTGTATCTGTACTTGCTCATGTAGATATAAATAAGATGCATAAGAATAGCCACCAACGGCAGTGGTTACCTGCCATTCAATTTTTTTATTAAAATATCATTGATATACAATCTTATGATGGTTTCACATAAACAATGCTGTGGTTTCAACATTCACCCATATTATCAAATCCTCACACACACCTCCATTGCAGTCACTGTCTGTCAGTGTAGTAAGATGCTATAGAATCATTACTTGTCTTCTCTGTGCTGTATTGCCCTCTCCGTGACCTCCTATATTGTGATTGCTAATTATAGTGCCCCTTAATCCTTCCCTACCAACCCTTCCCAACCCCTCCCCTTTGATAACCACTAGTCCCTTCTCAGTGTCTATTTGTCTACTGCTATTTTGTTGCTTCAGTTTTGCTTCATTGTTATACTCTACAAACGAGCGACATCATTTGGTATTTGTTTTTCTCCACCTGGCTTATTTCACTGAGCATAACACTCTCTAGATCCATCCATGTTGTAGCAAAGTAGGATTTCTTTTCCTCTTATGGCTGAATAATATTCCATTCTGTATATGTACCACCTCTTCTTTACCCATTCATCTATTGCTGGACACTTAGGTTGTTATCATATTTTGGCTATTGTAAATAGTGCAACAAGAAACATAGGGGTGCATATGTCTTTTAATCTGGGATTTTGTTTTCTTTGGGTAAATTCCTAAGAGTGGAATTCCTGGGTTAAATGGTATTTCTATTTTTAGTTTTTTGAGGAACCTCCATATTGTTTCTACAGCAGTTGAACTAATTTACATTCCCACCAATAGTGTAGGAGGGTTCCCCTTTCTCCACATCCTCACCAGCATTTGTTTTCTTGTCTGTTGGATGTTGGCCATCCTAACTGGTGTGAGGTGATATCTCATTGTGGATTTAATTTGAATTTCCCTGATAATTAGTGATATGGAGCATCTTTTCATGTGTCTGTTGGCCATCCATATTTCTTCTTTGGAGAAGTGTCTGTTCAGATCCTCCACCCATTTTCTAATGGGGTTATTTCTTTTAGGGTGTTGAAACATGTGAGTTCTTTATATATTTTGGATGTTAACCCCTTATTGGATAAATCATTTACAAATATATTCTCCCATACTGTAGGATACCTTTCTGTTCTGCTGATGGTATTCTTTGCTGTACAGAAGCTTTTCAGTTTGATGTAGTCCCACTTGTTCATTTTTCATTTTGTTTCCCTTGCCTGAGGAGATGTGTTCAGGAAGAAGTTGCTCATGTTTATACTCAAGAAGTTTTGCCTATGTTTTCTTCTAAGAGTTTTATGATTTCATGACTTACATTCATATCTTTGATCCATTTCAAGTTTACTTTTGTGTTTGGAGTTAGACAATAATCCAGTTTCATTCTCTTGCATGTAGTTATCCAGTTTTACCAATATCAGTTGTTGAAGAGGCTGTCATTTCCCTATTGTATATCCATGGCTCCTTTATCAGATATTAATTGACCATGTATGTGTGGATTTATATCTGGGCTCTCTATTCTGTTCCATTGATTTATGGGTCTGCTCTTATGCCAGTACCAAATTGTTTTGATTACTGTGGCTTTGTAGTCGAGCTTTAAATTAGGGAGCGTAATCCCCCCAGCTTTGTTCTTCCTTCTCAGGATTGATTGTTTTAAAGCCTTAGCAACACAGCCCCCAAGGTGGCCCCAGAACTGGACACAACTCTCTAGTGTGGCCTGATCAGAGCAGAGGCCACTGGTCCCATCCCTCCCTGAACTGAAAACTAGTCTTACACTGTTCAGCCTGCATTTTTTCTCTCTGCTGAGGCAGGGAAGACACTATAAAATGGGATGGTGGGATGTGCAACAGATGCCTTACTCACAAACCCAGGACCAGGTTGGCCAGGCCCCTTGATGTAGGAGGTATTTAACTTTAGCCTTCTCTCTTTGCCATGATGATGATGGTGATGGTGATGTGATGATGGTGACAATCATGGGGATAATGGTAGATAACTTTGAGGGAGCCTGTAATGCATAATAAGGGGTGTGGTTCCTGGCACAGTATTTGCAACCATCCACTTAATCTTCACAGTCCTATAGAGTAGGTAATATTATCACCATTTTTCAGATGAAGCAACTGAGGCACAAAGGGATTATATGACTTACCCAAAGGTACATGGCACTGTCTCTTTATATAACCATACACAGAGCACTCATGAATGCTCATGCACTGATCTCAATCTCCCAGAGCTCCATACTGTCAAATCCTACAGTGTAGACATTTCTGGCTAATATACCTGTGCACTCAACCTTTCCAGGTTACTAATTGCCCTCTGCCTGTGTAAACTTGGTCCTACATCCCACTCCTTCAGGACCTTGCTAGATGGCTAGAACCAACCGGATAAAGTCAAGCTAAGGTTTCCCTGACTGATATATTTAAGTAAATTGTGTGTGTCTGTGTATACACACACACACATGTATACATATATACACACATATAATTTTTAAAGTGGAATTCTTATTTGGAAGGCAAAACCATGATAGACTCTGATAATAAATATGTGTATATTCAAAGTAATCTCCAGAGTCATGCTTCATGGTGGATGGGGGGCAGTAGAAAAGATTTGGAGCACTCACAAACTTCCTGTTATCCCATGATCACAACACATTAGTCTGAGCTTAAGGACAGCCCAGCCTGGCTCAGTCTCCTCCTGGGAGGACATACAGGCATTGATGCTGAGTATTTGGGGCTCTTTTTTGGAACCTCCAGGAGACTCTAGGCAGAGTCATGAGCCACACAGTTAGTTGAAGGGGCCCCTGGAGGTGCTGATGGAAGGAGAGAAACTTGGGGAGCCCTCTGGGACTAGAGTTGAAAAATTAAATATATAATGTCCAGTGAAATTTGAGTTTTAAATAAACAATGAATAATTGTTTAGTTATAAGTAGGTCCAACATCATGAGCATACTTACATTAAAAAAATATTTGTTGTTTATCTGAAATACAAACTTACCTGGGCAGTCTGCATTTCTGTTTGCTAAATCTGGGACTGCCTGGAACTCCTCACAGTCAGCTCCTTGGGAAAGAACATGAGTGACTGTCGTGACAGTTGGTGCTCAGCCATCTACTTGTCCCTGGGTGAAGTGGCAGGGTGCTCTGCCCTGACTGTCCCCCCCCCACCAGCCTTAAGGCAGCCATAGAGCCTGGCCCTGTTGGCTGGGGAGGGGAGGGGCCATCCTGAGTTGCCCTGTGGGGTCACACTCATGTTTGGCTGTGTCTTGAATCCAGGAACCTCATTTTTGCAGGAAAAAAAACAATTTCTTGATGACTTGGCCTCCAGTCCTGAGAGGACTGGGAGGGACTCCCCTAAACGGTTTCATATCCTTTGCTCTTGATCTTTGCTCCTAATCATCAAAGGAACACTCAGGGTGGAAATTCAAATATCACAGGATTAAATTAGACCATCCCTCCACAGACAACTACTATCAAGTTTAATGTGTCTTCTTCCAGATTTTTCTCTATAAAAATTATATAATCTTTTCTATAAATAGAATCATACAGTGTTCTGAAACTTACTTCTATTTCACATATCAGGGACCTCTTTCCATGCAGGCATGTACTCTAACTCATTGGTTTCACTCTGCCTCCTTCTTTATTCCAGTGGTGCTTGGTCTTTTGGGGCTCTGAGCGCCATTGGGTGCTCAATGAATGACAAATCATATAGGCACATCTCCCAAATATTTGTATGTGACTTTGGATGTCACAGCCTTCCTGAGACTGATCTGACCCATCACCCTGTACATAGCAGGGGAGCAGGGGTTGGGGGAGGATCAGTGAAATGGGTCCAGAAGGGAGGAAGAAGTGTGAGCATGATTTTATTGTTGTGATGGGCAGACCCATCTCTGTGGAGCCTCGGTCAGAGGGGTCCTGGGGCCAGTCTCCATCGTGAGACCCTTTGCCTGTCTCGAGCACCCACCCCTGGCGGTTCCTTTCCTAGCACCCTCATCATGATCACCTGATTCCAGCAGCTGCCAAACCCCTGGGCAACGCCAAGAGCCTCCTGGCCTCAAACGGGTTGGGCGACATTCACTTCCCGGCACAGTCCTCACCACCTGCTCGGTCATTAGGAAATGCCTCAGCGGCGGCTGTCACTGTGACAGCAGCGAGAGGACATGCTGTCTCACCAGCACCTCTGGGTGGCTCAGAACTGCTCCGAGGAGGCCCTGGCTGGAGAGGTGGACGCTGCTCTCCCTGGTCCCAGCCAAAGTGAGTCTGGGGGCCGGCCGGGAGTGGGGAAGGGGCAGGAGCTAGTCAGACGGTGGCAAGGTTTGGAGTGAGACGAGCGACGCGGGGCGTGGGAGTGGTGTCCAGGGCGGGGGAAGCAGTCAGGGTCTTGAATTGGGAATCCAGGAGGGAAGCCCTGTCTCAAGGTGGGGAGGTGGGTGGTCACCTGGGCTGTTCACCTGGCTGGGGAGACCCCCACCCAAGCACTCCCCACCATGGGCTGCTGCGGGGGGCGAAGCCAGGCACTGGACTTCATAAGGCCAGCTCCCTTCGGGCTAGCCTTGCCCACGCCCGCCTCACAGACGGCTCCAGCCGTGTCGAGCCACTCTGCGGAGGGAGTTTGGGTAGTCACTCTGCTGACCATGCTTCTTCAACTATTCCATTTGTTTATTAAACCACGTTACAGAGGAATGGTTGACACACGAAAAGCTGTACATATTTAATGTATACCACTGGATTCCGGAGCTCTCGGGTGGTATTTTCACCCAGATACAGAAATGGTGTTTCTGTAGAGGTAGAAGGGCTGGGACCACCCACTCGACCACCTTGCTCTCAATTCTTCATCTACTTCTTTGATCGAGGTCTGGATTGCCCTCCACGGAGGTACGTACACCCAAACCGTCGCTTAAGGCCATGGTGCACAGCCTGGGCTATGTCGCCAGGTTAACTGGGCTTGAATCCTGGTCTGCCCTGTACTAGCAGTGTGACTGAACAAGTTACTTCACTTAAACCCTGAGCCTCACTTCCCTCATCTGTAAAATGGAGATAATACCTACCTCCCAGAGTTGGTGTCAGGGTTAAATGAGGATGGGATGCAAACTGCTAAGCGCATAATTAGTGTTCAATAAATTGTCGCTGTTATAATTATTTATTATTAGAGACACTGGTCCCACCTCACCCAGGAAGACTTTCCAGCTCTCCTCTCCCTGCCATTCCCTAAAGCACCGATAGCGATGCCTTTTGGCATATAATGTCTCGCACTGTTATTTAGCTAGTTTGTGCCAAACAGAACGTGTTCCTTGTATTTCTTCTGCAGTCCTCTCCCGGGCCCCAGCAGCCAAGATAGAGTCAAGCACATAAGAGGAGCACAAAGATGGAGAATGAAATGGAATTGAGAGATGGGAAGGGACACAAGGAGGGAGGAGTCAGGGAAAGACAGAGGAGAGGTGAGAAGGCAGGGAAGGAGGGGGACACTGTCCAGGCATGAAGGACATGCCTCTCCTGAGGCACGATAAGAAGAAAGGATCGCCCGGAGGGACCAAGAGGGGAACCTGGGATATCCTTTGCGCTCCCTGAGTTTCTTTACTTTTCTTCAAACTCAGAAGCAAAATGGAGGCTCTTCTCCCCACCTCCCCTGTGCTTCCCGACTTAGCTAATATCTATTCACCCCACCTATCAACTGATTATAATAATGTTCTCCATGTCATCTATGGAGACTTCTCTTTCTCTCCCTGCCATCTGATTCCTTCCCAGGAGATCTCAGGTAAATCACTTGCCCCTCTCTGGACCAGAATCTGCTCATCTATAAAACCAGATTTAGCTAAATGACCTCAAATCTGCTCTAATTCTCTTGCCTGTCTTGACATTTACTTCTCAGTTCCCCAGCCGACAACCTATTAATCATCATTCCTCTTTACAAGAAATCTTTTTCAAGGAAATTTATTTGTCCACTTGGCTGTAAAGCTTCATGAAGGACTTTCTTGATCGCTGCTAATCTCCAGCACCTAGCTCAGTACCTAGCACCCAGCAGGAGCTCAATAAACACTGTTGGAATAATTGGATAGATGACTTGGATGGACAGATGGATGGATGGAATTGCCACCATATGCCGTGGGGACTTACGAAACGCAGGGGGACCATGTTAGCAGTTGGCTGGCTTAAAAAATCATGGTTATCTTGAGAATAGCCCCAGTTTTAGACATTTGCAAGTGTTTTATGAAACAAAATAACTGAGAAACCCTGGAATCAGTCTTCATTTATATTTATTGCCCATCACTTACCCAATCCACTGTTAATCTTGTTCAGTTATTCTGAGCAGAGCTGCCCTCTGTCACAGAGGTGTGACTTTTTAGTCATCTACATAATAGGGAACATCTAGGGAGGAGAGGGAAGGGGGGGAGACAGATGCTAGGAGGGGCGAAGACTTGGCCTGCCTTAATGATGACACCTACCAGTTATTGAGCAATTACTGGGTGCCAGATGCTTCACTCAATACTCTGTTGAAGAACTCTGAGAAGGTAGTACTATTATTAACCCTATTTACAGATGGGAGACTGAGGCTCAGATAAGTTAAACAACTGCCTGGGCTTATACAGATAGTGATGGGTATATAAAGGATTTGAACCCAGCTCTAGCATCCAAGCACTTGAAACTCTCCCCACTCCCCATGGTCCCCTCTGTCCCCGCCTGGAGGCCACACTGAGCACCTCAGAGACCAAAGCTTGACAACCCCTAAAAAGGTTTGTGCTGCGTCCAGGGTCCCGGGTCCCCTACCCCCACCACTACATATTTTTGTTCTTTCTTAGTTATGGGACATTTTCAAGTTGGCAAAGTGGATCTGAAACCAAGCCAAGGGAGGGGTGTGATTTCAAAAGATGTACAATTTGATACAATGTCCTATCCATTAACCAATTCTGTTCTCATTATATCCTATCTCAGGTCTATGGGCTGCCACCCCATCCATTTGTCAGTGTGTCCAGGGATGTTTTGTCTATGTCACTGATGGACTAACATGTCAGTAACATGTGATCACAGTTCCTTCTAAAGAGGTTATTCTAGGCTCAGTTTAGGCTACACAGTCTCATACAGGGACTTTTAAATGAGGACACTTGGACCTTGCCACATACCCAAGCAGGTGTTTGCCTTCCAAGTCATCACCTTGGAAAGCTGTGTCCTTGATTCCACCATTCTGCCATTGCTGAGAACTTCAGAGGACTCTCCTTTGCTTCAGATAATGTTTAAAACTTTATTACTTGATGCTGACTCCATATCTTTGATTTAAAACAGTATTGTGCCACCTGTTCACTCATGTACTTCCTTACCAGGCTTGGCTCCCAGTGGCTTTTGGACATTTCCAAAATATCAGATATATCCTGGGAGGACGAAAATCTGCCTTCACTGAGGTTAATCAGAAGGTTTTTTGCTGGCTTAGGCAACCCTGTAAGAAGAATTTGAAGAATGGCTGAGCTGTGAAAGGTGGAGGAATGAACCCACAGCTCCCTGCCCTGACTACACAGAGGGCCAGCAGGCATTTGGATGTGTAAGTTCTGAGCTTTATACTCAGAGTCATTGCTTTACAGCCACACTTAGCATAAAGGAATGCAGGCCAGTGGCTGGGTACAATCCAATGGATCAGCCAACCCCTGAGTGGGGACACTGAGGAGCAGACCCTTTTCTGGAAAATGGCTATGCTGGGTACAGGCCTGCACTGGAGCCTGGACTGAGGCTGGGAGCATGTGCTTACCCACCTGCTTCCCTTGAACTGGGTCCTCCTGCCTTCGCTTCTGGCATTGAACCAAGAAGACATGAGGTGGTGACCTCACAGTGTGTGCATGTCGTGGTAGAGGTGAGCTATCAAGGAGGCTACACCTCCATCACTCCATGCACATCCTTCCTGGTCCCACATGGCTGGGACCTCGTTATCCTTCTGCCAGAAGCACACCCTCATCTCCCCCTAAGGGTCTCAGGCTCTGGTTCTCAGGTCTTGGTTTAATTCAAGTAGGTCGCTGAGGAGCAGCAGAAGAGGAAAGGGTAGGAGGAAATAAAGTGAAGGCAGAAGGCATGGAGAAAGGGAAGGAGGCTGCAGTGGAAGCAGCAGTGTAGGAGACAGTTAGGGATAAGGGAAAAGGCACTGAGGCTCACAGCCCTTCCTTCCCACAGCTAAGGCCCTGCCTTCCCAGAGTGGCCATGTCAGAAGGCGAGAGCAAGGACAGCTCAGGCAGCGAGTGCCCCGTGTGCTACGAGAAGTTCCGGGACCTGGAGGGCGCCAGCCGGACGCTGAGCTGTGGCCACGCGTTCTGCCATGACTGCCTGGTCAAGTACCTGCTCTCCACCCGCGTGGACGGGCAGGTCCAGAGGACCATTGTCTGCCCCGTCTGCCGCTACGTCACCTTCCTTAGCAAGAAAAGCACCCGCTGGCCCTCCATGCTGGACAGGAGCTCCCAGACCCTGACCGTGCCTGCGGGCCTGCCCTCTGTGCCACCACCAGACATCCTGGGCCACACAAACCCCCTCGCCATCTCCCAGCCCGTCTGGAGATCATCCCCGAGTCAGAGTGCCCAGTTGCCCTTGGATCCGCTGCCCAGCCTGCCCCGGGAGCCGCAGATCTTCGTCATCAGCCGCCACGGGATGCCCCTGGGGGAGCAGGACAGCGTCCTGCCACAGCGCAGCCTGGTGGAGCTCTCCGAGGCTTCCCCGGCGCCCAGCTCCACCCTGTCATTCTGTTGCCGCTCACGGGGACTGCTGCTCATCACCCTCATCGCTGTGGTGGCCGTGGTAGCCGCTGTCCTGCCCTGGGTGCTGCTGGTGAGGAAGCAGGCATGATGGTGGCACCTGGAGGGGCTGCTGAGCAAGGCCCGGCCTGAGAGCAGCTCTGAGAGCTGCCCTGCTCCACACCACAGGGCTGGCTATGGCCTGGGAGGGGCGGGGCCCTGGTACAGACCCAGGCCTACCAAGCCCTGAGCAGCCAGTGGGCCTGGGGGAGGCCTGGAGCAGAGAGGACATGAGGATGGCGCTGCCTGGAAGTATGGTGGTGTCTCTACATCTCTGGCTCCTCACTCCCAGCAGGTGCTCGGGCACGATAGGGAGGCCGGGGGGCTGTGATCACTGAGGCTAGAGCTGAGCTGAGCTGCTGAGGTCTGCGCTGAAAGGGAAACTCTGGGTTCCAGGCCAGGGTGGAAAATGGGATGAAGGCCCCTCCTCGGACACGATAGTTGTGGCCCTCAGGTATCTTCAGCACTTGCTTTCCCCTCCTCTAGGCTAGAACTGAGCAAGGTGAGAAGATGGGGGGTCACTCCTGCCTGACATGTAGTCCTTACGTGCAGGTGCTCTACCTGAGGCCAGGTGGGGGACATTCTGCCGGAAGTGCTGCTGCATGGGGGCTCAATGGCAGCGCTCCTCAGGGTCAGAATTCCCACCCAGGATTCTCTAGCTTGCTCTAAGGAAAACAAGAGGGGGGTGGTACAGCGGCCAAGAGCACCTGTTTCCCAGCGAGTGTGTGCCTTCCACGCCCAAATCACCAGCCTGGAAGGTTTTCCCTGAGGGAGAACCTGATCTCAGAGGCTGTGGCCCAGGATTTCAGGGGGAAGTAACAGAAAAGGGTCTTCCTGAGAAGCTGAGGCCATGCCGGGAAACGGGTTACTGATAGAGGCCAAGGCCAGGACAACGGCTCACAGAGCCAGGCTCCACAAGCCTCCCAAGCTCAAGTCCAAATTTTGAGTCCCAGGGTTCTCAAGGATGGACCGGAAAGCAGGGAGTGCAGAAGTCTGATGGCTGAGACTTGAGTCAGCTGAGAACTATGTGGGCAAATTAACCCCTGGGGGCTCCTGCCTCCCTCCCAGCCCAAGTCCTCCTCCTCATGTTCCAACCACTTATTAGAGGCCACACTAGCTGGGCCAGTTCCTGAGGTGAATTCCCAGGCTGGGCTGGGTGAGGAAGGGTGGGGAAGAAAACAGCTGTGCCTGTCAGGGACACTACTGTCTCAACAAATGCTGAAACCCAGGTGCTGTCGGCTGCCGGCCAAGGCCTCTTTACCCAGGACTCCACCCTGGACTGGGCTGGGGGTCCTTGATGAGAACCACTAGAAACACCCCAAACTGGGTCTTGCCTGAGGTGCAAGTCATTCAGGAGCAATTATTTTCTGTTTATTAAGGCCCTACGTCAGCGGGCCATAATCTTAAATTAAGAATAAAAACAAAAACCTCTAGATATTCCCTCCAAGAGGTAGTTCTTCCCATCCCAGGTGTGCCAACAGCTGAGCCATCCACAGCCTACATCTCTCACGACAAAATTTATTAGCTGTGGGGAAAGAAATAGCGCTCTGCCTCTTACCTGGTTCTCAAATGCCTGGGAAAGGGACCCACACTACAAGGGATATTTGGGACACAGGGAGGGCTGGTTTAAGGCACTTACGGGCTTCTTCATACTCTTTGAAAGACCAGAGAAGCATAGGTGCTACTTGGGGGGGATACAGATGGATTGATTGGTGGGAAAATATTTTTTATAGGAATACAAGATCAAGTTTACAGACTAATGAGTCTGTTTTAACCTCAGCCAGGCTGCTTTAAACAGTGTCATGAATCTCTGGGGACCTGACTTTAGTCTTTTCAGATTCTTTTGTGTCTGGCAAAAGTTAATTTCACAACACCTGAAGTGTTTTCATATTGTTTGGCAGAGACTTGTAGATGGCACTTCTTTTATTTTCAGAGAATGTCAAAAGCTATTTTTTAAATAAAGGTATATATTTTCTCAAAGATTCCAGAGACACTGCAAATGCATGTGGGAAGCTCTGAGCTTGGACTTACTTTCAGGATAATTTACTTTAGATGACAAAGACAGTTAGAAAATACAAACGCAAATGGGTCTTAAAAGTGTTTGCTCAGCCACATTAATGAAAGAAATCCAAATTAAAATTCTGCTGGTTAACTATGTTGCACCTGTTCTCTGGCCAAACCCTGAAAGTTTCAAATCCCAGCTGCCAAAGTTGAGGAGAAGCAGGTGAGGTGGTGGAAATGCCCACTGGTAACACCCCTATGATGTTATCTAGCAATACTTCCAATTTGACCAAGAAATTCCTGTTCAAGAAATATATCTCATAGAGATACTTGCATATATGAGAAGTGACATAGGTACAATGTTATGTCATTGCAGCAATGTTTATAACAACAAAGGACTGGAGCAAACCCTACATGCCCATCAACAGGAGGCTGGTTGTATAACTTAAGGACCAGGGACTAGCATGCAACTGTAAAAAGAACAAAGATGGAATCTCTGAATCCCCATAGGAAGTCTTCAAGATACAATGGCAGATGGGAACAAGCAAGCTGTGCAACACTGGGTATTGGATACTAGTATTTATGCAGAAAGTGGGGGGATAAGAATTTACACTCCTATTGCTTATTTATACATATAGAAATTGGGAAGGTACACAAAAACTAATTACAGTGATTAACTGTGGAAGGGGATGAGAAAATGATGGGGGGTGATTTTCCCTTTCCCTTAGAGACTTTTTGATTTTTGAAACAAGTAAAGGTACTATTTACTCAAAGATTAAACTGAAAAATGTATTAGAAGCTAAAGACATCTTCAGTATACACACGTGTGGCCTGGTGAGGAGTCAGCCCCAGGAATATTCGAGAGAGGCCAGACTGCTTATCTTGTCATTCAAGACTGTCAGCTACTGGCTCAGTGGGGCCGGTTTGTCTGGTTAGAGGTATGACATCTTATGCTTCACAGGCACCCCAGGAAGGAAGGTAAAAAGTTTAAAACACTCAGTGTTTCCGAGTTCCTGTGGATTTCTTCAGGCCCCATCATTTAAAGTGCTTGTTTCAATTCCTCTCTACCCTTCCTTTCTTTCCTTGAATAAAATCTTTTGCTTTAAGCAACCACCCTGGAGTCGGGGCACTACAGGAAGATACCATTAGTTAGACAGACAAATAGGTAGATGGACAGACAGGTGCCTAGGGTTAAACGTAAACTATTGCTCTCCTCTTTCTCCCCTTGTACAAAGGAATTCGCCCTTACACACACACACACACACTCACACACAATTTACCACCTCCCACCACCTTTAACTCTGATATATACCTGCCCAGTCTAGGCCAAAAAGGCAAGCTTAAAGATCCAAACACTGCTGGTGAGCCCTGGGCCAGAGTTGCCAGGAGCCTGGGCACACACCTTAGAGACCTCGGTGCCCCTCAGAACCAGTCTCATGACCTGTCCCCTCAATGAAGCCTGCGATGGCTCACAGCTCTGCCGCTCTCTTCACTTCTCCCTTTGGCTTCTTTATCAGTCTCAACATTCTTTTTGTAGCACAAAATAATCTTGCCCCATACTCACAATTCCTCACTTTCCTTCATCTTCCTCTTACCCAGTACAAATGGACACCATAACTAATTCTTTTTTTTTTTTTTGGTATCATTAATCTACAATTACATAAGGAACATTGTTTACTAGACTCCCATCACCAAGTCCCCCCCACAAACGCCATTACAGTCACTGTTCATCAGCATAGTAAGATGCTGTAGAATCACTACTTGTCTTCTGTGTTGCACAGCCCTCCCTGTGCCCCCCCCATTACACACACATGCTAATCATAATGCCCCCTTTCTTTCCGCCCCCCTCCCTTATCCCTCCCTTCCCTCCCATCCTCCCCAGTCCCTTTCCCTTTGGTAACTGTTAGTTCATTCTTGGGTTCTGTGAGTCTGCTGCTGTTTTGCTCCTTCAGTTTTTTCTTTGTTCTTATACTCCACAGATGAGTGAAATCATTTGCTACTTGTCTTTCTCCGCCTGGCTTATTTCACTGAGCATAATACCCTCTAGCTCCATCCATGTTGTTGCAAATGGTAGGCTTTGTTTTCTTCTTATGGCTGAATATTCCATTGTGTATATGTACCACATCTTCTTTATCCATTCATCTACTGATGGACACTTACGTTGCTTCCATTTCTTGGCTACTGTAAACAGTGCTGCGATAAATATAGGGGTGCATATGTCTTTTTCAAACTGGGCTGCTGCATTCTTAGGGTAAATTCCTAGGAGTAGAATTCATAACTAATTCTTAAACAATTTGCAGTTGCAATAAGCAGTGCTGGGGCAGGCCTTTGGGCCTTTGCTTGGCAGGCTCCCTCTGCCTAGAACACTCCCCACCCCCAGCCCCTGGAAAACTACAGAGCTTTCCAGAAACAGTTCAAAGGTTACCCGTAAAGACTGCCCTGCCCCCTTTCTCAGTTAGAACTGATTGCATCCCACAACCTTCCCGGAGACACTTTATTATGCCAACTTGTTGACAAGTCCAACTCCTCCTTCTGGACAAAGTGCTTCTCTAGGGCAGGATAGATCTTATAAATCTTGGTATCTGGCACAGAATTTGGTAAGAGTAAGAGCTGGATAAATACTTCAAGAATGCATGGGTGAAGGAATGTATGAACAAACAGGATGGTTTGGTGTCTAGAAAAAGTTTAGCATGAAGGACCTAGGTGTGGAATCTGGATAATAGTTGCTCTGGTGTGTCTTGGGACTTCACAAAGACGAGTCAGTTTAAACGACCTTTTCAAATCATGTAAGAGGAATGCAAGGAGAAAAGAAAGGGCAGCCAGGCAAGGTGGACAGAGGACCACCAAGGGTGGAGCCAAGACACTTAGGAAGATACACAGACTCTATAACTAGGCTACAGTCATTTGCATCTGTGTGTACAGTTTATACCCTAGCAACCTTCATGCTGTATAAAGTGACTGTGCTCTCCAAATAGTGGACTGAAGGTATAATTTCAATGATGCAGTGTTGGATGGACGGAGGGAGCTAGGGAGGCCCAAGAGGGAAGAGTGACCATAGAGAATGATGGGGCAGCTGAGGAAACAGAGAGACCCTTTGTGCAAAGACAGGAACAGGATGGAAAAACTTCAGGAAAAGGGTGTCAAGGAAACTGCTAAGTACAAAAAGAGAAAAAGTGAGAATGAAGACCCGAAAGGAAGATGAAATAGGAAGGCAGGAGCCTTCACTGGCTCTCTCTGGCTTCCAGCATCAAAATCAAATTCGGCTGGGTGCCCAGGGCCCCAGGGGCTTGTCCCTGATGCTTCTCACTCCAGCCACAAGGACCAGGCTCTTGGTAACAATGTGTCCTGCTGCTTCATACCTCCATACTCTCCTTCAAGCTATTCCCACTGCCCCATGCAGCTAACTGTAACATTCTTCAAAATTCAGTCAAGGGTGGTCTCAGAGCTCTCTCTTCTGTTCCCAAAGCACAGAGGCAGCCTCTAGGCAGAGCACTTTCTCTGACTGCCATGGCGTCCTGTGGTGGATTTTCATTCTCTCTCCTCTTAGACAGTGAACATCCTGCAGGCAGAAACTGACTAACGTCATTTTGTAGCTCTAGTGTCCAGTTCAAGGCTGGCTTGTGAAAGATGGTCCATAAACACTTGTTGAAAAACTGCAGCAGAGAAATAACTCACAGAATTTTTGAATTACGAACACAATCTGGGGCTATTTCCTCCCAGCATATTTAAAATACATCATTTTTAAATAATGAAAACACATGTTCTTTACTGATTCTACTCTGAACCCTCAGGGATATGGCTTCTTACTCTTTGACCTGACCCAAAGGATCCTACAATTGGGATCACATACACTTACCAAGCCAGCCTGCATGGATCCATCTATAAACCTAAGGGTTCTTTATAACCTTGCACAAGTTCCTCTCACTTCTCTGTGGCTCAATATCCCCATCTTCCCCATCTGTAAAATGGGGACAACAATAAAATCACAAGGCTATTTAGCGGATTATAGGAATTAATAATGTAAAGTGAGAGGAGTGTCTCTAGTACTTAGCAAGCTATGTTTTATATATTATTAAGCAATATGTGTCTTCTTTCTGTATTATGCATTCAACAGAAACCGATCCCCGCACTGCAGCCTGCCTCAGAATCTATTTGCAGGGGAGCGCACCCCCTTGCTCTGCTTCCATCAGATCCTGAACTGAATGAGAACAGGCAGTAAAATTCAGAAAGGAGCACAGTTCCCTGCATGGAAAGCCCTCACGCCGGGCTCCTTCAAAGCATGGTCTGGGACCAGCACCCTCGGCATGACCTGGGAGCTCGTTAAAAATGCAGGTTCAAACCTACTTCCGCAGGGTGGGGTGTGGATCCGTGATCCCAGTCCTCGGAAGGCCGCTCGCCGGCCGGGGCCGAATCTCGGGCGGGCCCCACCGCAGTCAGTCCCGCAGCGGTGTGGGGCGGCAGCAGGTGCCAGGCTGCAGCTCATTAGAAGACCACACTCGACACGCCCACGCCAACGGCAGGAGCGGGCGTGGTGGCGTCAAGATAACCGAGGTGACCCGCCGCCCGCAGTCCCAGCGTCACCTGGCGGCCAAAAGTAGGACCTGACTTTTCCCAGCTAATGGGGTGTCCCCCGCCCGCCTGCCAAGAGTGAAGGGACGGCGGTCCCCTGGGGTCTCTCGTTTCCTCGTCATCCACTGGGATAGTCGGACCCTGAATAGACCCCGCCGCTCGCCTAGGAACCACCCTTCCCAGCGAACGCAGCTGCGGAATCCAGATCACCCATGGGAGGAGGGACTTGCCGGGCCTCGCAGTTCCCCTCCTAGCCGCGAGGGGACACTAGTTAACAATTTCTTCCCCAGTTTCCACCCCTTGCTCAAACTCCGCGCTTCTCCCGCTCCTAGACATTGTTCTCGCGATATCTCGCGTAAACTTACTGAGCCGGAAGTGGTGCGTGGGTCTCTTACCTTTTGCGGCCATTG